CCCCAGTGCTCTGGGAATTATTACCTCCTCATGTTGTTTAATTTGTGAATTTTCCCCCCCTTTCCTAGACCTGTAGAGATTCAGCAGCTGCACCCACCCAGCCATCTTCCATATTTTCATGCTTCTTTCCCCCTCTTTGTTTGAATGCAGAGAGTGCTGTAAATGAGAGTTTACGAATGTCCTCATCTTCCATCAATCTTCGCCTCTGCCAAGAGGATTTTATTCTCAAGCTTGATGGGAATCAGGAAGCCACCTTAAGGAAAGGAGACTTTGTAGCCCTTTACCCTCCAACTTTGCACATGGACCCTGAGGTCTATGAAGATCCTAAGGTAAACATTCAGCTGGTGCTACTCATCATACTTCAGGCACGTTGCAGCAGCCAGGCCTTTTGTGATAGTTTTTTAGCGCTGTTCTTTCTTGTGGAACAAATCTTCCTACTTTCAGATGTATTTTCTAGGGCCCTGTAGGTCAAAGGATTCATGGCCTGAAGAGAGAAATATGGTGATGAGACTGACTGCTATTGCTTTCAAAGAAAATGACAATTGCACATTGACCACCATAAACTTTAGGCTAAATGTGGGTTTTGTTTGGCAGTGGATCATTTGATACCCAAGGAGGGCTGAATAATGGAAGGTGGTTTAAACAGCAAATAATGTGGGCCATTTAGCTAAGTGTCCCCAAAGCATCATTGACTCTCTAAAGCTCTATAATAGCAGTGTCTTACTTGAACCGTATGCTTTTTCACCTCTCTTCATGGGGATTCACCCCTTCTTGGTCAATTAATATGGTGTTGTGAACTTGAAATTGTAAAGCTGTTGCTCTGCAGTGATGCTCTGAGGGTAATTGTGTCATCTCCTTGTATTTTTTTCTGAAGCTCGAGTTAATGAATATCAAAGACTGGAAATTAATCCACCCTGGCTCAGCCTTAATACGGTTTCAGAAGTTTACCACCTGCATGCAAATTGAATAGTCGTATTCTCCCATAGATTACACTGAAGCATTGTTGTTATTAGTGTAAAGTGCCATATAGAAACTGAGATTCCACAAAATAAGACCATCAAATGCCTCAAGCATCTTACAGAGGTATTGGTTTATAATTAAATCATTTTCCACCTCCCATTTTTAAGCAAGTGATCGATTTTCAATAATATTAGTTTGATTCTTGCTAAAAAAAAGTTGTGATGCATTCTAAATCATAGTTAAACTTCAAAATGAATATTATATTTCTTCATATTTTTTTAGAAAACTATGACTTGAATGACATGCAAGACCAACTTTAGAAACACAGCTTCTGGAATTTTTGTTTCTAGGAAAATTTAGAAATAAAAATGTGCAAATCTGAGAATAGGACTCTCCTATCCTTTTCATGTTGGATAGTATCCTGTTGCAGAATTCATTGGGACTAGTTGTGGAATAAACTACTACTCAGCAGGATTAAGGGCATTAAAAGACTGGCCTAAAGAACTGATAAATAGAAGATTGGCCACAAATTTAAACACTGTAACTATGAAAATAAAAAATGGTGCTCAGAAAAAAACATATCTTAGTTTTCCTTTCATACAAGAAAGGAAAAGTAAGGTTATGTATAAGCTTATGTATAAGTATTTGTTAAATTATCCAAAGGTTTACTAGTATGTAATGTTTTAATTAAAATCTAAAACTCATGAGTAACTTTTTGCAGTGTCTTTATCGTGTAGAATGTTTTTAATGTCATAAGTCCATTTCTGTATGTGGATTCCCATTCAGAGGCTGTCCAGGGAGCAGTTGAATACCTCCCATGCCAAATAATTGTCAGGAGGTTAGCGTGTAATTGTGGATGGAGTGTGTTTGTTCACTATTGTTCTGTTTAGTTTTTGCAATATGGCTTTAATTCAGATACTTTGCCATTTTGATGCTAAATGAGTGATCCACACATTGCAAACCACATTGATTTCAACATATGGACCTTCTTGAAAAGTCAAAAAATAACTGTTCTGCTTTGTTCTTGAATATTCAGTGTACTTTAAACAATATCTACTGTGTATCAGATGGAGACAGATTCAGTGTTATGACAGAGCAAGTTTGGGTTTGCTGTATATTTAATGGACATGGTAGGTTAAAAAGGTGTCCTGGGAAAATGGGCAGCTTAGTGAACTGTTGCCTCTGAAGACTTAATAGTAAATTCAGGCCGCAACTAGAATGAACATAAATGTAACCGGCTATCTCCTTTATCACATCCCACAGCCTAAGAAAATGAACAATAATACATAGGCAAGTGGCCTTCTAAAACTTAAATGAGCCTAAGTCTCAGAAGTAAGCAAGGGAATCCCATGTAATAAAATATCAGATAAAGAATTCTGTATCGTAACTTCCCAGACTGAGCCATATATTATCTGTAGGAGAGGAAAGCTTAAATTCAGTCACATGAGTTTGTCTACTATTCAAGTAGAGCTGTCAAGTTGGACAACCACACAGTGAGGATTTTACCTCTTGTTTGTACTTTGTCTCACTTATTCCACCAGTACAGAAAAAAGTGAACCCAATTCTATTACCAACAATTTTCCTTAAAACTATCTCTTTGCCCAGGCAACCCAAGAAAACCAACCCAAATTTATGAGATTTATAGGCGCACACCTGGATATCACACCATTATTTGTACTACCTGTTTGGCTGTAGTTTTGTGGTATTAAAATGTTTTCTCTTTTTCTAGACCCGATACAACAGTTATCTTATCCATTTCAGCCTTGAAATGGCTCACAAGGAATACTAAGAAAGTACTGGCCTGTTACAGTATGCATCCCTAGATCTTTGATCTCAGGAGAGCCAGTGCTTTGGAATATACATAATTGGATAGCTAGATTTTAAAGCTATTACAATTTGTGCATAAGACGACCAACAGTTTTTTCTACATTAGTAGGATGTTTATATTAAAAATGTGGGGTTTTTTAATATCATATTTTGGATTTTCAGTTTTTACTGGGTTATTTCAAATTGAAAAAAAAATTACCAAAAAATTAGCACAGTTCTTTTTTGCTGTGATTTTCAGAGAGGTCCAAAGCTTTGATTTTTCAGTGCAAATTGGCATTTAACTCTATTAGGCAACTTGAAAAATCCAAGTCTATATCCTTTAGAAAAGTAACTGCCCAATCTTTAGCTTGTGAAGTTACATATCCTTGTCTGTTATGTTCTTGTTAACACAATATGCAGAACTTCTCTTGGACTGCTTTGCTTCCCACCATCTCTACTGCTTGCTTAAGATTTTTAATTTTCCTGACAGCCAAGAAGTCCTGTGGACTACAGTACTGAAGACTCTGATCTGAGGGGTAGGAAATGAACAAGTAATTGGGAGACTTGAATCATCTACCATCATTGATTATTAATGATTAAGATGGTCAAGGAAACTGAGTCATTTTGTTTTTCTCTATAGGCTAAGCATTATACAGGAGAGAGAGAAAATGTAGGGTGTGATTTTTTTTTTTTTGCATTTTTATTGAAATATCATATAATCATTAACTTTGCTCTTTTGTGTAGAGCAAATGTTTGTGGATTGTCAAAGATGTGCTGTGTTCAGGAGTAAGCCCTTTATAACTGTTATCAATATTTCTATCATCTAAGATGGTTTCTGTCTGACTGACTTGTTCCTATCCATCTCTCCATAGCTTGCACTATAGCAAATGTATTCAAAGCAGGACAAATGCTAATGAGTGACCATAAGCAGGAAGTGTTTTGTCATTTTCATTCAAAGCGTGCATGATGATTTCATAAATGGTTTAATTCACCATGGACTGAGCTAGGATTGCCAAATCTTCTTCATTCACAAACAGGAGTTAGCTTTAAATGATGACCCCGATACTAAAAGTCAACAAAAGGCTATTAAATTGACGGAATCTTAGTTACAAGCTAAAATAGCTGGGAAAAATGTTACAAGTCCCTATACTTGAAAAATGCTTGCTGTTATGACACCCATTAGATTTTTGTCTTGCATTGCACACATCTTTTTCTATGCCAGGATACTGAAATTCTGATGTGAGGAAGTCATGCAGCGACTACCTTCAACTGAGAAAAAAACTGATAGGATCTTATCAGGATTGATTCCTGAAAGGTCCACACCACTGAAGGAAAGGAGTAGACTGAGCCTCCCTTTGCCAAAAAGAACAAGATCAATATAATGCATGAATTTATGGGCAGTGGAAGAATTTGGTATAGGTTACTGTTATGAATAATAGGTGTAGTGCCTTATGTATGTATGATGCTTTACCAAACACATTTATCCTTCTGTTATGGTTTGTTATCTCTGTCTCAAAACGTTCATAGTGTAATTACACTACATACAAAGTGAGTATTCAGGTGGTTGAGATATGGGAGTTTAGTGAAGAAGAGCTAAGCAAAACACTGGGTTTTTTAGGAGTGATTTTGGGGTGGGGGTAGGGAATGACAGTTGTTTTGAAAGTTGAAAAACTCATTTTAAGGGAATAGAGTAAAGAAATTAAGTTGATGGCTCCTTGACTTAGCTTTTAAACTTATTTCAGGGTTCTAGACACATCAACACACCCTCTTTCAAATGAAGCAGCTGATATAACTGCTTCATTAATTTTTACAGTCTTTCTCTTTTATTTTCAGAAGTATAAGTTTGATCGGTACATAGAAAATGGCAAGAAGAAAACTACCTTCTACAAAAGGGGAAGAAAGCTGAAATATTTTCTGATGCCTTTTGGCTCTGGAAGCACCAAGTGTCCTGGAAGGTTCTTTGCAGTTAATGAAATTAAGTTGTTTCTTATTTTATTTGTGACTCATTTTGATGCAGAAATAGTGGAAAACAAGAACCTAGGATTTGACAACAGTCGTATGGGGCTTGGTATTCTCTTGCCAGACTCTGATATTGCCTTTCGCTACAAGCTAAAGTCTTTGGAAGAGTAAGCTATTGTAGATTTAACACTAATCTAGATTTTTGCTTTATTTTTTCGTTCTGAATTTTCTTGGTATATTTTTTCTCATTCTGGTTTCACGTCTGTAAGAGAAATTGAATAATGATTACCATTTAAGGGCTGGAGGATCACTTCCACAAACACCAATAGAAAAGAGCAGGAATGGCTGGAAATTGGTAAGGGGGCATGGAAGAAACAACTGAGACAATGCCCCCCTGAACAATACCTCAGTCAGCAACAGGAGCCACTGAAAGCCAGTCTACACTACACCTCTTATTGTAATATAGGTTTTTTAATTCAAGCAGTAGAAGCTCATTGTTTTAGATCCACAGGTTTAGGCCCTAAACAAGTACCCTTCTGAAGACATCAGTACAACTAGGTAAAGAAAAATGTTACTGAGGGGTAAGAGAGACATGTATAAAGACTTTCTACCAGGGAGGAGCTTCTACTATCTATTCTGCCTCCGTGGTGTCAAGACTTGCAACAAAATTCTTTGAAGACTACACAAAACTTAATCTTGTGGTTTCCTTCTCTTAGAGGGTCAATGTTCTCTTTTATAGCTCCCAAATGTTTGTGGGGCATATGGAAAATTCAAATGGCCCCTCAAAACACCCCTAAACTAACAAAAACCCCTTAGAAAAAAATAGTATTTTTTAAAGTTAGAAGACCTAAACAAATCCTGTGATTCTGTATCTATACCACTGAAGTGCTGGTTGAGGTTCTCAAAGGCTCCTGGGAACCCCTAATAAATGATACCACTAAAGGAGAGGCGAGGTGAGGTTTTTTTCCTCTCTCTCAAACCCCATGGGAAAGGTGTCCTTAGCACCTCCTCTGTCCCCACCCCAGTAATAAGTGTCTTAAGATCATAGAGATTGGACACTGTGCTTCACTACCAATACATCTACATATTTTTCAAGAGCAACATATAAATACCCTTTGTGTACTGATTATAAGTCAACCCTGTGTGTAAGTTGGCTTATTTTCTGTTTCAGTGTTATAAAAACAGTTTTTTTCTCTGAATAAAAGTCAATAACTGCAGATAAAGATCTCAAACTGAAATTGCCTTTTACAAGGTCCCATAGGAGAATCACAAAACTAAGGACAGAATCCAAAGGCTTAAATATGCTAAAATAAAAATGGCATTGAAAAGATTTCTAATTTGGTATTATTGCATATGCAAGAAACACTGTATGTTTTTCACATGCTACATGCTCCCTAAATAAGACATGCATCTTTTTTATTTTTTGGAAGACAGAATGTAGGGGAAAAAAAAGATTTTTCCAGAATCCGTCATGGCCCACAGTTGGCTCTTTCATGGAGATGCCATGCTTCAAAATGCCTGCCAGCTTCTCTCTCTCTTCCAACAAGTTGGGGGAGGGGGAGTGGGGGGTACAAAAGTAGACCAAGTTAGTTGTTAACCCTTTCACAGGCACTCAAACTGGAAGCAGCTCAACCAAATATTGTTTCCAATTTCAGAGAAGCTGAGAAAGGGTCAACACTGCAACACTGGACTGTTAAAACACTGGACTGTGCCTGTTCTGCTTGCTGACCGGGAGAGAGAAGCTGGAAATAACTACGAAGCACAGTGTCATCATACTTCTACTGTTCCATGCTTTTCAGGGGGGTGAAGAAAATGAGCCCTGCCCTCCCCCCCCCATTAAAACATGTCACAATTTTGGAGGGCTGATTTTTGGTGGAAAAGGGTGCATGCAGTACATGAGGAAAAACACCACTCTAAATACAGAAATCCAAACTGTCAGGGATCTGCTTACATGTTGGCCTTGCATGCATGTTGACTGTGTTTTTATGGGCCTTTTGGAAGGAAAGAAAATGTCAACTGATATAATCAGTACAATATGGTAGTACTATCCAATGCACTGGTTAGTAATCCGTTCTCTGTGATGTTGTTTTTCTCTTCATTATGGCTATTTTAAAGTAAAGGAGAAAAAAAACAACAACTCAGTTTTAGGCTCCTTTGGTCTTCACTACCACCCCCAGGAAATACAACTTCTGGCACATGGTACTTTTCATAGGGAAATGGTTTGAGATAGTGTCTTTTTACAATGTTGGGGATGTAATACTGGTTTATTAGTATCTTGTGAAAGTGAAGTGTGCTATTTGCACACCATTGCAGTAAAAATCTACTGCAATTATAGTGCCTATCCAACTGCCATTCAAGTCAGAGGGAAGATTCTGTTGACTTGAATGAACTTTGGATGAGACCTACACAGTCTACTGCTTTGTCTGAACCATTAAACTGTATTTGTATATGAGCCTGTTTAAAAGACACCATCAACTTAACAAAAGACTTCCACTTAGCCTAGCCTGTTGCCTGTAATACCTTAGATTATTCAAACTAAATGATACTAGAGGAGAAAGAAATGTTGTGGTTATTGTATTACATTCATTTGACAACTGTTTCCAGTTTCTCTTTTGTATATCTTTTATAATAGCAAAAAGGTAAAGATCTTCTAGGACAAATGTGGTACTTAAAATACTTTACAATCATTTTTAAATATGACTAAGTTACAAATTGATGGTGTCTTTTAATCTATGTTTGGAAATAGAATACTGTCCCTACATAGTGTGAAGTAGTCTGAATCACTGGCTCCTATTTGGGTAACTTCCTTTAATTGCTTAATTCTACATTCCTCGTGTTATTTCGTGATAGTTAAAATGTGTGGAATTTGTGTAAAACTCTATATTATTAAGACAAGTTTAGAAAACTGCAAGCAACACTTTTAGTACTTATTTAGTTTTACAACAATTAGCTGTTTTCCCTTTTCTTCTTTTTAAATATTTCAAAGTTATTCCATTGCTTGAAATATATTTCTGATTGTTCTTGACTTGTCAAGATGTTTATTGTGGCAGGAAATCCTAGAAAGTCATCTGTCATCCACGAGTAGTATCTTTGAGCCATGTACCCCATCTACTCCCTTCCTGAATGCCCGCTTCCCCAGCTACAGGGATGTGGTGCTACACATATGCCTAAGGCCTTAAACATATACATGCCACTTACAGAGGTTAGACTGCAGACATGTTGGAGAGCCATGTCAGCACATAAAGGTTAGTTTGGGGAGCCAGCCTCTGCTCCCTTCCACATGCCGATTTGCATTTATCTCTGTAGTAGTGAGACTAACCCTCCACAGAATTGTTGTGGCTACCTGGATGTGAAAAGGGACAGAACAATATTAATACAAACACAATCTTAATTTGTGACTCATGGAATTTGAGAACATAAATTGTGGAAAGTTCTTCAGGTGTATTGAGTCACTTAAGATTAGATTTTCAAGTACTCATTAACTTGTGCCTTTTTCGGATGGTACCAAAAGCCAAAGGTGTCCAGAGGTGTAAGCACGCACAACAAAGCTTGAAGGGAAGCTTCAGAAACTCTGAAAATTAAGGCTAATGTGTCTCCATCTAGTGGAGCACGCAAAGCTAGTGGATGCTTTTAAAAATGCTGGCTTTAAATTCCTTGTGCCTCATTCTCCCACTTCTTTAGAATAGAGGAAAACATATCCACCTTTGTAGAGACCTTGATGAAAACCACTACCTAAATACTAATGATTAAAATTATTTGGTTTTATTTTTACTTGAGATCATCCAATTATTTGTGTAAATAGTACACCACAAGTAACCATTACCAGAAAGGCTGTCAACGATTCAAAAGCCATATTCCAAATCCTCTGTGAAGAAAAGTATGTTTTTGTGAGAGATGTTGGGGAAACATTTTTTTCTTCATATATAATATCAGTGTCTACAGTGTTGGAGTATACTCACATTAAATAGGCTTTGCAGTTGATTAAATGCCTTAACTTTGCTTCAGTATTTAATCAACAGCAAACACTGGTTATGGCTTTGTATACTGTAGCACAACAGAATAAAATCTGTTTTTATGTAGATCCTCTCACATTGAGATTAGTTACTAATGTAGTGACTCTGTAGGCAAACAGAGTGGCAATTATATACTCAGCCGTAGCTCACAATCCAGCTTAGACATTAGAACCTGTTTTATTGAGAGAGAGAAAATGTTGACATCATTATAGTGTTGACTATATTACATTATTGCTTAAATGTAAGCTGTAAAATGTCTCATGCCACAGTTATGATAAATCCTTCTTTGGCATTTCACTTTGAAACAAATTTGAAGCAACTGTGAAAATAAAGTAGGTATTTGTTTTAAACAGAAGAACTTTTTGAATCATACTGTGTTTTTAGGGTTCTGAATTGCATGTTCCAACATAATTTAGAAGGACATAATGGGACCATGCCCAAGATGACTAGAAATTGTTACTGATTTCTGATTAATCACTGATTGGTTTATACAGTATCTGTTCAGAAATAAAACAAGGGATAGAGAATCTGCGAACAGGCATATATAAACTAAATATAACTTTAGGTTACACAAATGCCAGGCTATAAATTTGGGAGTAAGGGTTCAATTCAGCAAGGTACAGAGTACTGTCTACATTTACTTATACCAGTATGAATAAAGAATTCTCTATATCTCACAAGACTTGATTTAGAGTAAAACTGCCCACCGTTTTTGTTAAATAATCAAATGAATAAAAATTAAACAAGGCAGAGAAGTTCCTTTTCTAACTTGACCCAGACCTTCCTACAGTAGTAATCTGTGCTATTTCAGGAATTTGAAAGATGTTCTAGTTCACAACTTTTGCGGCCGTCTAACCACCCAATACTGTTTGTTAAGGGCTGTAGTTCCCTGGTGAGGTCTCACCCATGAACTATCTCTAGACTCTAGCAATGATTCACTCTTGTATTTCAAGCTATTTGACAAGTATGGTCCCCACCAGCACCATTTCAGCACATGCTCTTACTATGAGTAGATGCTGGTAAGGTGAATCCCCCTCTCCCCTAACCCACCTTTTAAAAGGTGGAAAGAAGGAATATTTGAGCCAGTTACTCTTCTGGATCATGCTTGCTGATCAGAAATGCTGACTAAACAAGGTCTGCAGCGAACTGAGCCTGCTGCCACTAGCCAAAACAATTCACTACCTTCCCACAAATAACCCAACATCTACCACTCCTGTTGAAACTGGAGTCAGAGCCTGTGGCCCACAGGATTTCCACCTGGGGAACCGTGGGAGCTTTCAGTTACTGGGTATGAAATGGACAATCCCCTAATGAACTCCCACTGGTCTCAGTTAGATGCATGGCTGATTCTTTAGCCGATCACAGTGCATTGAGGAATTCCACACTTGCTGCACGAGGCAGGATGTACATACAGGTATCAATCTATCAAGGGTTTTCAGTGGCATCTTGCATCACAGAGCCAAAGTTCAAATAGCATTGGGGGTCATTTTATCCAAAATAGATAACTTGCCCATATAGGGAAACTGTTGCTGTTTACAACAATGAATTGTCCATAATACTCCAAAGTCATCAAGCCTTCTGCTGTTTTGGCATCCTCTTGTTATCTCCAGAGATAAACAAGAGGCCACTTAGGCCTTGCAGTGTGGTGAACATCCTTTCCATACATAGGACTCCTTCCTTGCCTGTTAATGTTGTTTCATATGTCAGCCAGGCGGGGTGCACAAGAGCTCCTCAGTTCACTGGACTTTCTGTTTTGTGACAGGGAGGGATCCTATGGGGAAATGATGTACTGCCTCAGCAGCTGTAAAAGTGAAACTGCTGATCAGCAGCAGCCCCCTGGTGCAGTAACACCACATTGACCAGAGTGCATGCAGGTGCTAACTTTTCCCTCAATTTTTTTTGAGAGAGAGCAATTCTCTGCCTATACACAAGCAGTTCATATTTAAAATGTGAAAGCTGTAAGCCAACAGAGTCACTTCTGGGAGCAGTCAAAAGAGTCTGATATCTTTTTAAAAACGTTTTTCCACTTATAGAAGTGAATTCTTCATTATCAAAATGTGAGCACCAGTATTGGACACTTTTATTTCTAAACAATGTTTTCTTTGGTACTGAGCAACATTGTAAGCTACCGTATAGTTTTGCACAAAGTAGAGTGCTGCCATATATGATTATATGAATGTACCTGTTTGCAAATTATATATTTCAATTGATATATTTCTAGCAATATGTTTTTAACATGCTAATAAAGACCAGGTAAGAAAGTGTTCCTTAGTTTACTACCCTAAAGTCACTATAACATAGTTCACTACCTTACACAACTCTCAGAATTGCTATTTTTATGAGTAATCACTAATCTGTAAACTTTACTTGTATAAATAGCCTTTATTTCATTATCATGGACCATTCTTCCCGTCAAAAGATTGTGAATTGTTCTTAATTCCATAAACTGACATTTGTATATAGAACAATGGTTAGATTCTGAATTTAATATCTTATAGGAATTGTATATGTCAAAGATGCTATAAAATTGAATACATATATTTTAATAATAAATGACTTCCTGTGATTTTTGTTTTTGTTGTTGCAATTGGTTGATCTTGCACTTCTCATAACTATTGCTTTCAATTTTTAAAGTGATTTATTCAGAATACAGCACTGTACAGAATACTGTACTGTTCTGGTACTTGATCATTGGAAATATTTCTCTCTACGGAAAAAAAGCCTTGTGTCAGTATTAGCTTATGATAAGTAATGTGCATGTAAAAAAAAGAAAGTCAGTGCATTGAACCTTGTCAGGGTTAAACCAGTCCTGATGCTAAGGTTTTACCTTTTTAGCATATGATAATTATATGACTCTTAGGACAAAAGTCCAGCTTAGTATGGATAAATTCAAATTCCATGTTAGTGTCCAAATGCGGCCCGCAAACTCCTATATTCCCTTGTGTAATCCAAGATACATGTGAAAGAAAGCTAATGTAAAAACTGTTCGATACTTGATATAGTTCTATACACTGCATTAATGAAAGTATGTGAAATTTGCTTTTTGCAATAAACATCTCAATATACGCTGCTGCACTAGGAAACTTAGCTTTTCTAAGAATCACTGTGGTGGGTAGAAATTTTCAAAGAGCTCTTCATTATGCAAGTCAGACATGGCAGAGGTCATCATGCCTTGATTCTTGAATGCAGAAGTATTTTTAGGTCAGATGCATCAATACAGTTTATACAAGGTATTAGTGGGAAAACTCAAACTGGCATTGTTTTACTATACTTGAAAAAAAGGTGACTAACCTGAAAACAATATAACAAAACTCTTTTAAAAAAATTTCAAAGAAATTTTGTAAAAAAATATGCCAGTAGTGTCTGGGACATTAGGAAGTTTAGTTCTTGCACTGAGGAATCCTTATTGTTCTGGAAGCTTGTTGTATGAGTGAATAAATAATAGCTTCCTGTACTGCATTTTATCTTTTATTTATCTTGACACTAAAAGCTTAATTGCTTGACCCTAAGCCTCAATTGTGTGACAGTTTGGAAGTACTTAGAATATCCCTTTTCCTCATTGTGTGCGCCTAGTTCATTAATTACATGCTTAATATGAATAGAATAATTTTAATGGTGACAGTCTACACATTTAAAGTTAAGAAAGTGAACGTGACTGAAGTATTTTATGTTTGTTACTTTTTTATTTTACTCTTTGTAATTATACCTATTGTACAATGACAAATCAGGACAATCTGAAGAATTACAAAAAATCCAGGTAGAGGAATAACTTCTATAAGTACTGAATTCTTTAAATTAATATATGTTTAAAATATAATAAGCATGCAGAAAAAGAACTTTCCCTTCATATACAGAAGCATTCACTGTACAATGTATAGTTTTCATTTGAAAGGACTGAAATAAAATTTAATGTGATCTGTCTCAGTTAATCGTCATATAAAACAGGTTTATGTCTGCCCAGCTTTTTGCCATGCAGCATGTTTCCTTATAATCTCAGACATAAGAATATTCAAATACAATGTTTATAATAGCAGAAATACACTTGTCTTCAAAATTATCTCATAGCAAAACAGAAAGTTTAAACAAATCTAAGATTCACCCGTACTGATAACTGTTCATGTGAAAATGTAATGACATTTCAATAACATATTTTACTTCTGTTTTTGCACTTAAACTAAATTGTTGACAATAATGTTATTTTCCTGCTAACATAAATACAGTGAAAATACAGCAGAGTTGGAAAAGTTCAGGTGATGGGATACTATAAGCATATACAATGCAGTAAGTTACAATGATATATTTTTGATCATTTCATTCCATTTAATCTTTTCTCCAAAGAGTTTAGTTGTTAACCTTATGCAGGCAAGAAGCACTGACATTTCTAATTTTTTGTTTTGTGAGCCACTTAATTAACTTTTCAATAGTTAACATACATTTTAGTTACCAGAACATTTACAGTAACCAGTGTCTTATTATTTGTAACCACAAACAAGATCTCAAGTGCCAGGATATTGAAGATTTGCATGTGAAAGGTGGATGGACATTTGAAGAGCGATAATTTTAAGGGTTATCTTGTGAAAGACCTACTTGTGAAGTGGAGTCATATTATAATTGCCTTGTGATATTTCCATTTTAAAATATACCCTTTATGGAGCAACTTACTTAAAAAAAACATTCTTTTTAAAGAACCTGGCTGTACACTCGGTATTGGCAAAGGCTAATTCCTAAAAGGTTTTTAAATTATACACTTTACCATTTAACTTTGTGTGATCCACTTGGACTCTTACTGTAATGAGAAGAATAAACTGATACTAGGTAAGAAGGGATACTAGTGCATTCCAAGTGTGAGTTATGACTTATCTTTTAACTGGAAGAAAATGTATCCAACCCCTCTGACTCAAGTTATCTGATGTGGGGATGAAGGGGAGAGATTTACACCCATCATTCCTAAAAACAACACATTCCTCAGTAACTGAGTGGGATAGAGAAAAAAAATAAGTAGTACCTTAATGAACCAGTCTGCTAGGATGTTATGTCTGCCTTCCTGGACATAAATATTTATGTAGATGTAGAGAAGAGCAATTACTCATGAAAGGTGATAATTGAGGATTAGGAAAGGTTTGTAAATAATGAAGATTTTTTAAAATTTCCATGGTGAACTCTCCTCTGAAACTTCTTGGAAGAAAAAAAAAGTGTTGATTTAGATAACCAGTGATACCTTGTAGCGTTTGATGAAGATGTTAATTTATGGTTGTCTAGCAGTTTATGACTGCCATTAGTTTTTCAGTTTTGTCCCTCTTTAAAAGGTGTCTTTCTTTTTTATTTTAATCAGTGACAATTATACAAGGAAACAGTTCTGTTTTAGCTAAAATGCATCCTTTTGCCATAGCATTTCAAATTATTCACAGATTATAGTTCTTATATGTGCATATATGAATTTAAAAATACAGCAATAAAACGCTTGAAACAGATCATAAATTTGCTTCATATTTTATTACATGTCTCTGAATCAGGCTGAGAGGACAAGGGCAACTGCGGGCTTGGGGAAAGGTTTAACTCCTTCAAAGTCTGCTGGAGGAGGCGGCGTGCAAATTAAAGCAAAGCCACCAGGCAGCATTTCTGTGGGCACGTTGCAATGGAGCTGATGATCACTGGCCATTGTTATGTGTAGCAAATTGGTTTGGCTGCAGCTCGACACCCCCTTTGCTCATTTAGCAAATGTCCATTTAGCAGTAGGGACTTAGACCCAGTGCAATGGAGAAGCTAAACTAAACAGGCTCTTCCTGCAGCCCTGCCTGGACCTCCACTTCCATCCCTGGTTTGCGGTAGTGAAAGAGCGCTTGCTTAACCCCTGCCATGCCTGAAAAAGAGGATCTCTGATAATGGTGAAGGGAGGAAACTCTGCTGGGGGTTGCTAGGATCAAGAGCCCACTGTGTTGTGGGACAGGCAAAGGGGGAGGAGGGATCGTGCTCGGGGGAGTAAATACTTTCCCTACAACTTCTGCTGTTGGCTCTCGTGGAGCGGCAGGAGGACAAGCACCGCGAAACAGCCTTGCCCTGTATCCAGACTAGCAATCCAGAGGAGGGCAGGAGCCGAGCATCCACGTGGCCCCAGAGGGGCTTTTCCAGCTGCCTTCCCGGAGTGGAGGAGGAGCAGTAATGAATGAGCCTCGGGGAGCTCAGAGCCCAGGACAATTAGCTGCGCTGCAAATGGAAAGGGGGCTCTGATCGGCGACAGCCTCGGAGCAGCCGGGGGCATCTCAAGGAACCGGACTGAAGAGCGAAGCTGCTTCGCTTCTCCTTGGCCAGGCAACGTGGGAAGTTAGGGCTTGTGCGGATGATCTGGTTTTAAGGAGGAGAAGAAACGCCAGGCAACCGCTGCCACCGAGCCGGAGCTGCCTGACTTCCTTCAAAGTTTTGGACCTGCCCGGCAATGGCTCTGCCCTCTGATGGAGAGCCCTGTGCAACCATTGTTGGCAAGGGGCGAAATCAAAGCTACAGATGCTCTAGGTAGTACTCGGACCGGTGGCTCATTCATTTAACAACCCCCCCCACCACCACCACAAAAAAAAAAAACCCAACAAAAAACCCGTGTTAATTGCTGTCCAGGTTCCCCAGCACGTGGACAATTTATTTTGACTGCTGCATTTTAATTACAAGCAAACTTATTTATGTTTTTGATGTTTATATGGCGCGGTTTAATTGCGCCTCGCCCTTTTTCTTCCACCCTAAATCACATTTTCATTAAAGGTTTTTAATAAGAAAACTCACTTGACCACTACTCATTATCTGCTCCCCTCCACGCACACAAGTTCACTTACCCATTCATTTATTCACTTACTCATTCCAGCAGATCCGCTGCAACGGCTGCTAGCAGGGATGTGAGCACTCATAATTATTTGTCAAAGTCTGCAAAGTGTATTATCCCTTTTTCTAGTGGTAATTAGTTACCATAGCATCTAATACGTAAATGTGCCCAGAGCACACCATTAACAGTTAAACGGAGGATTCAATTTAACACATGATTATATCTTTCATAAGTCATTACATTAGGAAAGTCAATGTCACTCATGCTGGGACAATCCCAGGCTTAGAAGTGGGGTGGGGGGGAGCAGGCTGCCTTGGCAACCGGAGCTAGGGGTGTTTTGGGAGAAGGCTGGGAAAGTGATCTTGGGGTGGCTGGAAATGCCACAAAGGCTCTTCTAGGGGGTCGTCAGCTCTGATGAAGTGGTTCATGGAGTGAGAAGGGGAAAATCCCCCCCACGCGCGCCCACACACACACACAAGACAATTTGCAAGACCTGTTCAGTGCCTGCACCAGCTCCGGTTCCGTGTCGGTCCCCAAGGATGCTGCTGATTACAGGGTGATGGGAATGAAGTGTTACAAAGCTGCGATCGGGAGCTGGCATAGTCTCGACCCCCCTCCCCCCACCCCCCAAAACAGAGAGGGGAATAATGCGACCACAAATCAGCCCTTGAAAAGATGAGAGGGCCAGCAGTGAAACCCATTTTGTGAGACAGCCTTGCTGATCCTTTTTTTTGGCTCTGCTAAATCTCATAATCCA